ATATTTCTGGACTATACAAAGAACTCTCAAAACTCAAAAGTAAAAAAAACAAGCAATCCAATTAGAAAATGGGCAAAATATGTGAAGAAACACTTCACTGAAGAAGATACACAGATGACAAATAAAAGATGTTCAACATCATTAGCCATTAGGGAAATGCAACCACAATACCATTAACATAAATATCTACCAGAATGACTGAAACAAAGCAATAGTGACAACACCAAATGCTGTCGAGGATGCAGAGCAACTGGGTCACTCAGATGTTACTGGTGGAAATGTAAAATAAAGTGGTGCAGTCACACTGGAAAAGTTTCTCAGTTTCTTAGGAAACCAAACATGCAATTATCACACAACCCAGCACTTCTGGGCATTTACTCCAGACAAATGAAAACTCTCACACAAAAGTCTATAGCAGCTCTATTCACAACAGCCAAAAACTAGAAATGATGACTCAGATGTCCTTCAATAGGTGAATAGTTAAACCAACTGCAGGTTATCTATACTATGGAATATATTCAGAAATCAAAAGGAACAGATTATTGATACAATCTCATTCAATCTCCAGAGAATTACACTGAGTGAAAAGGCCAATCCCAAAATGTTATATACTGTCTGGTACCATTTACATAACTTTCTTAAAATGATTCTTTAAAAGGAAATAGAGAACAGGTTAGTGGCTTCCAGGAGTGAAGGAGAGGGTTGTCTGTGGCTCTAGAAGGGCAAAATGATCAGAGGGATCCCTGTGAATATGGAAGTGCGCGGTATGTTGACCATATCCATGTCAGTACCCTGATTGTTGTATTGTACTTTAGTTTTGCAAGATGTTACCTTTGGAGAAAACTGGGTAAAGGATACATGGAAACTCTCTATATTATTTCTTACAACTGCATGTCAATTTACAATCATCTCAGAATTAAAAGTCTAATTAAATAATGAACAGATCATTCATGAGCTGTGGGACAACTTCAAGCAGCCTTAAAAGGTTAGGAGAGGAGAAATGGAAATACATTTTTATAAGGTTTTTATGCTTTACATGAAGTGGTATAATATTACTTAAAGGTAGAGTGTGCTAAGTTTAAGATATATAGTCTAAATCCTAAAGAAACCCAAAAACAAAAACTGTTATAGCTGAATAGCCAGAAAAGGAGATAAAATGGAATCACAAAAATCTGATCCAAAAAAGGGCAGGAAATGGGGTGGGGGGGAGAACTATGGGATAAACAGAAAACAAAGAGCAAGGTGATAGACTTAAACCTAATGTTAATAAGTATATCAAATACAAGTGATTAAATATTCCAATTAAAAAACAAGAGATCACATTGATGATGATGATAAAAAAGCAGGACTTCAGCAACAGCCAAACCAAGTACTTCTGGTTCTTGAAGGTAGTTTTCCTTGAAATACCTCATTTGGCCACATTACAAACCACATTAGATAACAGCAAGCTGCTAACACCCCAATGTTCTTTGTATTTTCAGGTCATGCAAAAATGCAATATAGATGGCAGGCGTGAAATGAAAAAGAAACAAACAGGTAAGTTCGTTATGTGTTATCAAGTGCACTAACTTAACACTGTCTGGTCACTAAGTTCAAAACACTTAGCAGCCAGCTTTTGAGGCAGTGTGACCTAGTAGGAATCATACTGAGGAGTCCTGGCTCCTTCACTGACTAGTTATGAGTCACTGGGCAATCACTTCATTTTTCTGAAACTCCATTCATTCATCTGAAAAATGGAGTAAGAGCACATAGTTGTTGTAAATACTATATGTTGTTTCACTTAAAGTGCAAACAGTATGGCCTGGGATTCAGGCATTGCTCAATTAATGTTAACTTCTTTCCTCTTCCACCTTATTTGTGCATCTGAGTAACAGCCAACCAAAGATACCAGGTCCTGATTTCTGGAACCCGGTAAATGTTGCTGTAAATGGCAATTTTTGCTGGTGTAATGTGGATCACCGGGGTGAGTCCTAAATGCCACGTTTCCTTATGAGAGAAGCAAATGGAGATCAGACACAGAGAAGGGGTGATGTGAAGACAAAAGGAGAGGTTGAGGAGTCATGTGGCCACAAGCTAAGGAATGCTGGCAGTCACCAAACACTGGAAGAGAAAAGGCAGATTCCACCCTAGAGCCGCCCCAGGGAGTGCAGCCCTCCCAACACCATGATTTCAGCCCAAGATAATGGATTTCAGACTTCTGGCCTCCAGAACTGAGAGAATAAATTTTTGTTTTATGCCCCTAAATGTGTGGTAATTCGTCATAGAGCCACAGGAAACTAATATACTAACCACGACTAATTCAAAGATGGTTACTCAGTTGGAGGGGGTTCCTGACAGTGGCACTGGGGTCAGGGACCATGGATGCTAATTACTCAGTATTAAGTCCACAAAGATGAAGATGATTACGGCGCGCCTGGATGGCTGTCATTAAGCATCTGCCTTCGGCTCAGGTCATGATCCCAGGGTCCTGGGATCGAGCCCCGCATCAGGCTCCTTGCTCAGCGGGAAGCCTGCTTCTCCCCCTACCACTCCCCCTGCTTGTGTTCCCTCTCTCGCCGTGTCTCTGTATAAATAGATACAATTTATTTGTATTTAATGAGTGATAGGCTGGGGGAATAAATAAATTCTTTAAAAAAAAACGATTAAACATCACTCGGGCTATCACCACATCTCAAAGCTGAAACACCTCAAAGGAGCCAGCTCTCTGGTTCAGGTACAGAATAGAAAATACCCATTTTTCAAATGGTGTTTCTGAGGGTGAAGGGACCTAAGAGCCTGGTCCTCTGCCTCCTGGGTATGCCATATTAGGATACTGTCTGTAGTAGACATGTCTGTTTTAGCTCAATCTATGCTTTCTCTCACTGTTGCCTATTCCCTGTCTACCTCCCTGTGAAGTCAGGTACAGCCTCATCCTGACTTGTTCCTGATATTCTCCACCGCTATGGAGCTTATCAGTCTCCTCCAACAGCCCCTCTTCTGTTACTGACCTTCCCTCTGATCTTGACAGGGCAATATTGGGATGGCCAGGACACCAGTGGGCTCTGAAACCAGGCTGCCTGTGTTTGAACCCTGGCTCTGCTACTTCTGTGTCCTTGGGTGGCCTAATTAATCTTTGCCTCAACTGTAACATGGAGCTAATTACAGCAACTACCTCATACAATTAAGTGTGTACAGTGATTAGGTAAGTGCCTGACACAGGGTGAGAGTCAAAAGTGTATTACTCCTGTGACATCATTTATTAAGGGCATCTGTGGCTAACGTGGCAACATGTGAAACTAAGTCAGGGAATCTGTTACTCTCACCAGTTTTATTCTGAGTGCTTTTAGATGATCTGCCCTCAAAATGATCCCCCTGGGGCACTTGGGTGGCTCAGTCGGTTGAGCATCTGCCTTCAGCCCATGTCATGATCCCAGGGTGCTGGTATCGAGCCCATCAGGCTCCCTTCTTCCTCTGCCTGCTGCCCCCTACCCCGCTTGTGCTGTCAAATAAATAAAATCTTAAAAAGAAAAAAAAATGATCCCCCTGAAAACAACCCACGTGTGTACCAACAGCAGGCAATAATTGTGGTATATTCATTAACAGAACGCCACGTGGCAATGAGAATGAATCTATATTGATGGTTTCATTCACGTAAACATTTGTGATGGTAGAAATCAGAAAAGAGGTTACTGTGAGAAAGAAGTAATGACTAGAACCAGGCACAAGGAGACATAGCGTACTGGGATGTACTTTTTCCTGATCTTGGTAATATTTCAGGTTGTACATTTTCCTGTGTGTATATTATACTTCAATTTTTAAGTTAAGTGATTCCCCCAGCCTATCACTCATTGGTCAGGTCAACTGCTGCCGGATAAGAGGAAGAGGTGAAGCCACCAGGTGGCAGACTTCAGTGAGCAGGTAAAGTCTGGAATGTGGCAGGGTGACTGCCACAATGGTTGGCAGCAAAAGGGCACAGGAGACAAAGGAGGGTGCAGACCACATTCATCACACCTAAGTTAAAGAGCCAGCTCTGTCTTCCTACTGAGACACCTCAGCACTCCATCTTTATGAGAGAACTAGAGCATTTCCTTGGCCCACTGACCAATTCAAAGGGCAAGGTGGGCATGCTATTCTAGACACACGGGTAAGTGGCATGCTGTAAACGCTACAATAGCCCGGCATTTACCAGTTTAATCCCTAGAACAGCATCCATTCCAAATAAAAATTGAGTAAACAAAATGAAAGCTTTAAGAGCGGTAGCTTTTGGTTTCACAGGACTTATCTTGAGAATGGACTCCTTGATGCAGGCACAGTTTTGCAGTAACACTGAAACTCATATCACAGAGCTTAAATAGCTAGAAATTCTATATACTGGTACCCTGATGTAGCCCAGGCTCTTGCATTACGATGGATTTTCCATTCTTGTTACAATCACAGGAACTGCTGGAACTGTAGCTAAAGACTTTCCCACACATCATACACATAAAAACATTTCTCCATCAGGTTTGTTAGCCCCCAAGATTTTTGTTAGAGTCATAAAGCTCTCTTGCAAAGAAAGAAAACCTACCCTAAACTTGCTTGAACGAAAAAAACAACAAAACAAAAACAAAATTAAACATATTGCTTACTGGAACTCAAAAACCCAGCCGTATTTCTGGCTTCAGATATGGTTTAATGTAGTTGTTCAAACAGAAGCTTTGAGAGTGATTGCTCTTCAACTCTGATTTCTTTTTTGCTGTGCTTTCTCCTCAGCCTCCACAAGAATCTAAGAGTTCCTCTCAGCTTTAAGACTAAGGGGAGGGGCGCCTGGGTGGCTCAGCTGTTAAGCGTCTGCCTTCGGCTCGGGTCATGGTCCCGGGGTCCTGGGATCGAGCCCCGCATCGGGCTCCCTGCTCGGCGGGAGGCCTGCTTCTCCCTCTCCCACTCCCCCTGCTTGTGTTCCCTCTCTTGCCGGGTCTTTCTCTGTCAAATAAAAGAAAATAAAATCTTTAAAAAAAAAAAAAAGACTAAGGGGGAAAAGAAGAGTTATTTCTTCCTATTAACTCTTGCCAAGTCCTGGGACTGTAATTGGACCATGCTGGGTAAATTACTGACCTCTGAACCAACAGCTATGGCTTAGGGGAAGGAATGTGCAGCTGAGCCAGGCCTGTGTCACACATCCTGCTCCTGAGTGGAAGATGAAATCCAAAGGGAAATTTAGTGTACTATTACCAGTAAAAGGGGGTGAAAAATTCTGGGAGGCCAAAACGACAAATGTCTAGGACAACAGGTTTCTCTCCGGGGTGGATATGCTCACGATGACCTAGCTTGGAAGAAGTCCTAAAGGTTTTTTCATACTCGACACACTCATAGGGTTTCTCTGCAGTGTGGTTTCTTTGATGCTGAAGAAAATTTCTTTTGCTAGCGAAGACTTTTCCACAGGCATCACATAAACAGGAAGACTCCTGAATATGGATCCTTAGATGCCTTTTTAATTGTTCCTGAGCACTAAAGGCTTTTCCACAATCTACACAGTCAAAGGGTTTCTCCTCACTGTGGACTCTCTGGTGCCGAGTTAGTTTTGTATGAAAATTGAAGGCCTGCCCACATATTTTACAAGAATAAGGCTTTTCCCCTGTGTGAATACGTTGATGTTGGCTAAGATGAGAAGTCCTTCCAAAGCTTTTGCCACACTCCTTACATTCATAGGGTTTCTCTCCAGTGTGGATTTTCTGATGTCGAAGTAGTGGTGAATTACCAACAAAAGCTTTTCCACACTCATTACACTCATAAGGTTTCTCCCCATTGTGGATTCTCTGATGTATGACAAACTCGGAACTACTGGTAAAACTATTTCCACACTCTCCACAGAGATAGGGTCTGTCCCCACTGTGGATTCTCTGATGCCTAATCAGATTTGCATTATCATTAAAGGCTCTCCCACACTCTTCACATTGATAGGGCTTCTCTCCAGTGTGGATTCTCTGGTGCCGAATTAATGAAGAATTGCCATTAAAGGCTTTTCCACACTCATTACACTCAAAGGGTTTCTCCCCGGTGTGGATTCTCTGGTGTCTAACGTAGTAAGAAAAATAACTGAAGCATTTCCCACACTCCTCACAGCTGAAGGGTTTTCTTGTACAGTGGATTCTTGGAACCTTTCCTTTAATATTTTTCACTGTGGGGATTTCCTGGTGCTTTTCCAGTTCACAGGTTTCTAGAAAGTTGGCTCCCTGAATAACACTCTTCTGCAAACCATGTGACAATATCACATCTCTTTCTTCAGAAATTCCCTGTGTTGATGTGGACTCATTGCCAACGTTGGTCTCAGTATCTAATAAAACAGAAAACACAAATACCACCTGAGAATTATGCTAGAAACAAACAAAAGAGCACCAAAAATTATAGGGTCTTTAGAGATTACTCTTCCAACCTCCACATTGGACTGCTAGCGAGACCAGGCTACTAAAATGAAAGTGCCAAATATCACACAGAGAACAGTCAAAGACAAACAGAGTATTGGTATACACAGCACACATCAGATTGCTTCCTAAGCTTTTCCAGACTCCGTATTTTTTGAATAACTTCTCTCTGGTACATTCTAGTGTCGCTTGACCTTATCATATTCATAGAACTATAAAATACCAAAGGCAAAGGCCCTAAGAGCAAGTGGTAACACTGGGGCTAGCAAGACTCAAGAGTCAGGAAGTACAACAGAACAGAGTCAGAATACAAATGTGATGAAGGAAAAAGGTTCTTTTAAAAAATTCATACCCAAAAATAAATAAAAAATTCATACCCTGTAAATAGCCCAAAAGCCTGGAGACACTAAGCATTAAAGGCACTAGGCTGTGACAAGACAGAGAGAGAAGAAAATTACACTCCGAGGTTCTTAAATACAGGACATCCCCCAAAGGTTGTTAACTGCAGGTTCACAGAGGATAATGAACTCCCTAAAATTGCTGGCAATTCCTGTCTTGTTATCAGACTCTCACAAAAGTCTGAATTTCAAACACGCAGAGACTTTATTTGGAAAAGGAAGAATACAGTTTACCTAGATAGACAAAGACTGCAGAGTAGTTCTCATTTCAGCCACCTGTAAAATGGCATTTGTATTCCAAGACTGGATGCCATTTTACCTCAGTTAAAGTCAATCTATTTTCTTAAAAGATTTTATTTATTTATTTGTCAGAGAGAGAGAGTGCGCACAAGCAGGGGAAGCGGCAGGCAGAGGGAGAAGCAGGCTCCCTGCTGAGCAAGTAGCCCAATGCGGGGCTCAGTCCCAGGACCCTGGGGATCATGACCTGAGCCGAAGGCAGACACTTAACTGACTCAGCCACCCAGGTGTCCCAAAGTCAATCTATTTTATATAAAATGTTGGACTAATTTTAATGTTAATCTCAGGTATCTGGGACTCATCTAATCAAGTTCATCCTTCAAGTGCGAGTTAAACGAGTAAGAGCCCTTGGAGAAAGGCAGTGGGAGAGGAGACATTGGAGACTGAAGTGAACAGGGTGTTCAGTTATAAAACCAGGACTGAGCAATCAATGACCAAAATACTCTATTTTCCTGCTGCCCCATAATCTGCCATCATCTAGATCAGGATCCCCACAGCAGTTCTTCCAAGCTTCCAAGTTTCCAAGACCTTCACCACCTTCCTAGGTCTCTAGCCATTACCCCCACCTTCCTGCTGAAAGAACAAAGCTGCCCAGATGCAGTGCCCTCAACGTCTTTCCCTTCCATTTCTACACCCACTCATTACAAGCCATCTGCTGCCCTCTCAAGTCTCACACTTCCCAATCACCCCTGATGCCATCTCCCTTCCCCTGCTACACTGCTCTACCAGCTGTATCATCCCTCCTCTTCATCACCAACCTCCTTCTGCAGATCCTCAAATCCACTTGGGCTTAACCATCATCCCTTCACATCCAACTTTTTCTTTTTTTTTTTCAAAGATTTCATTTATTTGACAGAGAGACAGTGAGAGAGAGAACACAAGCAGGGGGAGTGGTAGAGGGAGAAGCAGGCTTCCCGCCAAGCAGGGAGCCCGATGCAGGGCTCGATCCCAGGACCCTGGGACCATGACCTGAGCTGAAGGCAGATGCTTAATGACTGAGCCACCTAGGCGCCCCCCAACTTTTTCTTTCTTTTTTTTTTTTAAAGATTTATTTATTTATTTGACAGAGAGAGAGTACAAGTAGGCAGAGAGGCAGGCAGAGGGAGAGGGAGAAGCAGGCTCTCCGCTGAGCAGGGAGCCCGATGCGCAACTCGATCCCAGCACCCTGGGATCATGACCTGAGCCGAAAGCAGCCACTTAACCAACTGAGGCACCCAGGCACCCCCCCCAACTTTTTCTTATAGTAGTGTTTTTCAAACTGCTTACCCATTAGTTGTGAAATGGACATAGTATGTAACTATCAGACACTTTTTAAAATGAAACACACTAGCCTAACCTAGAAGAGAATTCACATACATTGCAATGCCAAGGTAAATTTTGTCTCTTGAAACTCCAGTCTCAAAGTACATAATGCGTATACAGGGTGAAGCTCATAATAAAAGAGTTGGTACGGTTGTATTTCATTTCTAAACTTACCAAAATAAACTTATCTAAAGTGTTGCCTATAATCTCAGGAAACAAACTGAGGGTTGCTGGAGTGGAGGGGGGGTGGGAGGGATAGGGTGGCTGGGTGATGGACAGTGGGGAGGGTATGTGCTATGGTGAGCGCTGTGAATTGTGTAAGACTGGTGAATCACAGACCTGTACCCCTGAAACAAATAATACATTATATGTTAATAAAAAAAATAAAAAATAAAGTGCTGCCTCAATTTCCTCATCTCCCATTTACTCTTTCTCTACAAAGTATCTACCCTGAAACTCCTACCCTTGGCTTCAGGTCCATGTTCCCTCTTGGGGACGCTCCTCTGTCTACTTTCTCTTCCCTGTCTCAATAAAATTAAATATCGCTTAATATTTAGATTCAGCTCTTTTTGTTCTCTGGGTGTCATTTTAATTAAAACTCTGGTAGAGTACACTTGCATCTACTCCTATAGACCTGACATTTATCTCAGACTCTACACCTGCCTTCTCTGTGGCCTGCTCTGGCCATCCAAATATACATATTCTAAAGGAAACTCAGACTCTGTGCTCAGATCTGAATTCACATGAATTTAAAAAGTTTCTTTTATGTCATGACTTCCCAGTGTTACCTGACTCAATTCTCCTCTTTGATGGCCAAGTTTTGATGAGATCTGGTCAATGTTAGCTCCACATGCTCTTTCGTCTTTCTTGTTTGCACTGCCACTATCCCCTATCCAATTCACTCACTCAAAAGTTAACACCTGACATGTATAAGGGTTTTTAACAAGATTTTATACCTTCAATTTCCTTCAGGCCAATCCAAAGCACATACTGTGTTAATATTTCACAAATACAACCAAATATGGGCCTATGTCACTAGAGGCAATGTCACGGTGGCACGGGTCACTGCTCCTGCTCCTTGTTTGCTTTTACCTGCTCTTTCATTTCCGGTTCCCATGCCCTAAGTTCATTAGGATAGAGCCCTCAGGTCCACCACAAACTCTGCATTCTAGATTTTCCATACAAGGCTGGGGGGGTAAGTCACACCAACTACATTCATCTACACCAATGGCTGAGTAAAGGGGGTCAGGATATACTGTAGACTCTGCCAGACCCAGATTCTAGGAAGTCTTATTTAGCCTTCGAGTCTTAAGCTTCATGCTCCCCCACTGCTTACTAGAAAAGACAAATACTTGTAGGTACTCCAGAAATATCCATTTTAAAATATGCTCCCCAAGTGACTGTCCCTGAACATTAAACTGCAAAATTCTTCCCAACAATTTACTGGATCCTCTACTCCTTTTCTTAGGCCAGAGACTACCTTTTTTTTCACATGGGACCCATTGTCATAAGTCAAATTTGGAACATACAGCCTGCTACTGAAGAAGCTTACTTAAGCTCCTAAATGGGAATTTCTCCAGCTTCTCCTTCTGCTATGCTCCCATAGCCCACTACCTATATGCCAAGAACAGCACTTAACACACTTTTTTTTAAAGCTCTTTACATCTGTCTCCATAGCATGTATCCTCCAGAGCCTCTTAAACAAAGCTTGGCATGTGGCAAGTGCTGAAAACCACTTGTAAACAAATCCATCCTGTCCAAAGGAGGACCACTGAGACAGGAAAGGCCAAAACTCAGGAGTAATGGATTAAAAAATTGCTTGAAATTTACTAAGGGGAACTTGTTATCTTGATAAGAGTTAAAATTAATGGAAAAGGTTTCATATTTTACTTACTAGGAGAAATCATCCATTTTATTTAAATCCTTCCCAGCATGGTTCATTTGAAAATACACTGCTCTATAAAGCTCCATAGTTGCCAGTCCTAAACCTTCCTCCTTACCTTTACAGATGTCTTTGGTTCTCTCTGCAGATGGGTTATCCTGTGCCTCCAAGCCCCAAGGCAAATTCCCTCCCTCCAGAAGTGAGATCAGGGCAGGTTTGGGAACTGGGTATCCTGAAAATGGGGAGAAAATGGCACCTTTCAGCTGTGTGTCTGCTGTGTCAAAAGAAGGAAAACCCCAAGAGCCTCCATAAAAGTAAGATCCACAGAAGAAGGTTCAGGATTGGGGAAAGCCAAGATTTGATCAAGAAACCGAGCATCTGTGATCCCTTCCTACTTAAGAGTAGGTAAGTTAGTGAGATCCTACAAGATATATGCAAACACAGGGAATGGGTCACACCCTTCCCTAGACAAGTTAAGAACTTAGCTCTGGCAATGGAAACTATGTATTCCTTACTGTGTAGAGCCCCTTGGAGGATGGGATGTACTCTTACCAGGGGACAACAATTCCATACATTGCTACCAAACTGACTCAGTATCTCTCCCTACCCAGTAACCTTTGAAGTGGGTCATTTGGTTTCAGCCCTGGAGTCACAGAGTGGAAGATACCAGAGACAATCCCTCCCTCTCCACACTGCACACCCAGCCTATTAGGAGAGAACAAGGAAGGAAACAGGAAAGCACAGATCTGAGTCCCAGAAGGAAAGCAGCCTTACCAAGGGATGTCAAGTTCCCATAATTCTCCAGCATAACACTTCTGTACAGGGCCTTCTGTGCAGGAGAAAGACCAGCCCATTCTGTCCCGGTGAAGTAGACAGCCACGTCCTTAAAGGTCACCAACTCCTAAAACAAGAGGTTCCTGCTGCCCCAGAGCCAACTCTCTGACTCAGGGACAGAGTGCAGGGCATAGGGAATAGTATGAGGGAGGGGTCCTAATAGGGATGGCTAATGAGAAAAAATGAAGGAACTGGATGTTAGATCATTAAATGACTATTTTTAGAACCAAAAATCTGAAACTTCTCTAACAGAAGAGCTTCCATTAGGACATGAAATGTACTATTCTAAAACATGGTAACATTTCAAAAACCTTGGAAAATCTCCCATTAATTAAACTTCCTAAAGCAAATTCTTTGGTTTTATAAATACTTTTAATCTTTTGTTGTTACATCTCCAAATGGACATTAGCTTCAATCGGTCTAGACACTCACTCACAGGTAGCATGTCAGGACCTACCTATTCCCTCTTCACTGCCTCAGTGCCCAGGTAATCCATCTGTACCCCACAAGTGCTCATTCTGCCCCAAACCTCAAGCCCACTTTAACAAGAAGAGCATCATGGTTTGCTCTGATGAGCCTGTCTCATCCAACCCTATCTGTGCTTGAAGAGCTATCCTGCCTGTACTCAAGAACGTCTAGCAGAGAGCTTAGTGGAAGAGAGAGCAGGCAGGAGTGGACTTGTTGGACAAGTGGAAGAGATAACAGGCAGGAGTGGACTTGGTTCCTCTCTAGAAGTGGTATCAAGGGAGAATGAGTCTGGAAACCGAGTGGTGAGGACTGTGATATGGTGGTACCTGTGACTCACCAATACTTACGGAAGATCAGAAGAGGGTGGAAGCTATAGGGAAGACACTGCATCGATTAAAGTCAGGGAGAGGGACCTTCCAGATGTCAGAAATCCAGGACTGGGACTTGGGATACAGTTCATGGATGCTAAGTTATTGGATAAATAAGACCCAGGAAGAGGAAATGGTAATCAACACCTAGCAACTTCCCAGTCAAAAAGTGAGGTGCAACTCAAGAAATCAATTTCCCAGTCCCACAAATATAAGGTACTTAATGCTCACATAACAGATGAAGTCCATCAAAATACAGAGTTCAAGTGATTAGCTCAAGACCACAGAGGCCTGATGGGATCCCTAAATTCAGGTGTCCTGTCCTAGTGCAGACTTTCCCCATCATAGTCTGTTGGTGCCTCACCTTAGCCAGCAGCACTGACCTTAAGAGTGATACATTTTCCCTGATTATGAAACCCAAACTTCTTTAAGAGGACAAAGGCTAGAGGCCCCCTTTTCTTGTCTTCCTCCTACTGGCCCTCTGCCCCCACCTCCCAAGAACCTTGCAACCTCACTGATCTCGATCATTCCCATCAAACACCGGATATTTCTACCACCAACCCAAGTCCCTCATTCTCAGAGATCCCTCCATGGGAGTCCCTACTGAACCTGGGGGCTCTTCAGTTCAGCAGATATCCTTGGAGAACAGGAGACTGTACTTCTGATTCCCCGGACACTCTCTCTAGCCAATGTCTGCAGGGCTCCTGGTCGCTTAGCCCCTCACCATCAGCTTTCTCCCCAACAACGGACTGGATGTTGGGGAGAACTTTCATCCCCAACGTTGTACTGGAGAGAATCAAAGAGATGCCTTCCTGCTGCTTTGGTTCTAAGAGTGTTTCCAGAATTATCCCTCTCATGCCCCATTTCCTTCAAATTACATCTCTGAAGGCTAACCTGAGGGAATCACAGCTCACCTGATACCAGGCATTCAGGGACATGGCTGCCATCACCTGGGCTCCCTCTCAGTGAAGGGCAGGGGCTGAGGGAAGAAGCAAAGAGAACCATGAGTGAGCCTGGCCGAAAGGCTCTCCTTTAAACCAACAAACCTGTGGCCAATAACGATAGTTGCTATCATTTATCCAATGCCCACTGGATAAGTGGCATATATTTCTTTCAACCCACACCATACAATGAAGTTTGAATTCGGAAGAAACAGATTTTGAAAGGGTAAGTAACTTGCCCTCGGGCACCAGAGCCTGTACCACCATCAAACCATGATTCCTGTCCTGGGTAAGATGTTAAGTACAGGAGGAATAGGAGTACACAAAGAGCAAAACAAGCAAAAACAAAAGCAAAACCTAACAAGAGGAAACCCACACCTTTATTTTTAAACATAAACTTTGGGGCCCCTCGGTGGCTCAGTCAGTTAAGCGTCTGACTCTTGATTTCAGCTCAGGTCATGATCTAGGGGTCATGGGATCCAGTCCCATGTTGGATTCCCCACTCATTGCGGAGTCTGCTTGTCCCTTTCCCTCTGCTCCTCCCCTGGCTTGTGCTGTCAAATAAATAAACAAATAAAATAAAATAAAAAACTTTTACTGAGAAACCTAAAAAGTAAAAAAAAAAAATGTTCTCGGATATAAAATACACAAAATACATATCCCTTCATTCAGGCTCCACTTTAAACCTCTGAATTTTCTTTTTCCCAAATGAGAAAACAAGGCTATGAGAATAATTTTCTTTACCAAGGTCACAAGGAGGTGGATGAACTTGGATTCCAAACAGATGCGCCTGATTCCAAAAGCCACGTTTTCAGTTAACTACACTAGATCACTTCCAATTATAATCCCAAAACGATCTCTTTTATAACATTCTGAGGTTAATATGGAATAGTCACCAAAAAAATTCAGAAAAAGAATCACAGAGTAAGCCTTCCTTTTTAGACCTTGGGGCCAGCATCTTTTTGTTAACCACTCCATTCTAGAACCCAGGGACCACCGAAACTGATTAGCAAAGGACCCTGAAAGGCCACCTCAACTTGCCCAAATGCTGGGTTATTCCTTTAATTATATCATCCCCTACACTTTGTGCTAAGCAGTCATATTCTGCCAAAAAGCCAGCATCTTCCCTAACCTCACTGTATGCTGTAATTTCCTGCTAGCCTCATCTTGTGCCACCCTCCTCCTTTGTTTGGCCACTCTGGCCTTCCTTCAGTTCCCTCTACTGTTCTAACTCAGGGCCTTTGTACCTGCTGTTGCCTCTGTATGAACTACTCTTCTCCAACTTTAGGACCTTTGTAACTGATACTGTCTGCCCACAATACTCTCCAGCAGCCTGACCCTTCTTCACCTAAGTAATACTAGATCATCCTCTACAAACCAAGTCAGCTTCCCATGTTAAACACTACACTCATCCTGTGTTCACTTTACTATATACCACGTCTCCCAGTTTGAGATCATACATTTGCATTAATTTGTGCTTTCTACACTCAACAAACATTTCTGTATACTTCATTCATTCCAGGCCAAGTGTGAGATGCAGTGGAGAGAGGAAAAACGGACGTGACCTTCCGTCATGGAGCTTTGTCTAGACTAAAGGAAAGACACACACTAATCAAAGAGTCTCTTAAGTAACTTCAAGATAACAATTGTGATTAGTGCCGGGGGAATCTATCCTAGATGGGATGACTCAGGGATAGGAACTAACTAGGTTAAGAACGCATGTTCTGGAGGTGAAAAGCCAAGAAGGCTGTAGCACAGCCGAGGAGAGTGTGCGGCAAAACGAGGTTGTAGAAGGTGCAGAAGATGAAGCCATGCAGGGACCTGTGCACACGTTAAGGAGTTGGTCTTCGCCCAGAAAGCGAGAGGCCGCAGCTCCCGGGTTACAAGCAGGTAGGGTGAACCGATCAGGTTTGATTACTACGTGACTTTCCCATTAAACTGAAAGCTCCCTGAGGGCGGGGACCACGCTCGGCTCCTTTACAGCCGCATCCCGGGAACCTGGAGCAGGGGCTGCCATGCAGCTGCTCGGTAAGTAGTGGGGGGCCCAACGGGCATGGCTCTGCAGCTGTGTCGGGCACACAAGGCATCTCCTTTCCGTCCACAGCTCCTCGTCCCAAAGCGGCCGCCGCGAGCCGGGGCGAGCAAAGGCACACGAGGGAGGGCGGGACGGGCCCGCAGGCAGCCTCCGCCTCCCTCCACCGCTGCTTCAGGGCCGCAGGAGGGGTGAACAGTGCGCCCCTAACAAAGACGACCCGGCGACAAAGCCCACCACTCACCTCAGAAAGGCGCAATGTGCGGCGTGACCGGAAGCGCGTCACCGCGCAGGCCGCGTCGCCCAAGCCGCACGTGCTTCCTCTCTAGGACGCCAGAGCGCGCCGCTCGGTGGTCCCCTGGCTTTGGGCCCCAGCGGGGCGGGCGGGGCTTCTTAACCTGCGATCCTTGGAGACCTTGAATGGCAGAGAAAGTTGGCTGTTGTTTTCGCTGATCTCTAACCGAAATTTAGCATTTCCTTTAATTATGTGTTGGCAACAAACCGCAGTACGATCAGCAGTACCTGCGACTTTGTCACCAATTGAAATCACAGATATTTTCATATCACATCACAGTTCATGCAGTTATCTCAAAATACAAGCTATTCTCATCCCTAATTTGAAGTTATCATCGTTGTTATTAGGGCTTACCTTCAGATCATGTCATTTCATTTCACCACAGTGGTAAAGACACATGTATATTAATGTATCACAGATTTATTTTTTTTAACCATTTAACTGTATTTTAATATAACTAGTTTCAGAGTGGTCCACAGATGTCATCACAATGCCAAAGAGGTCATTAGGCAAAAAAACAAAAAACAAAAAACAAAAGAAAACTGTCCTCCTTAGGGGTAAAGATCTAGTCACATTAAGAAAGACCAGGATTGCGAAGGGATATTATTTTAGAACTATTTAGGAAGTGAAAACAGTGGAGATTTAAAAAAAAAAAAGTTTGAAGAACAGATATGAGGAGAGGGAGCAATCTATTCTAGCCATAAAGTTTGGGTGACCTGATAGATGAAGGGGTCATTAACCAAGATTCAATTACTTCAGGAACTCAGGAAGAGAAGTTGGTTTCGGGCAGGAAGATTACAGAATGTGGTTTCAGAAATACTGAAAACACATACACATGCACACACTTGCTTTATTAAAATGTAATTCATATCCCATACCATCCATCCATCTAAAGTACACAACTTAGTAGTTTTTGGTATATTCAAAGAATTGTGCAACCATCACCACAATTTTAGAACATTTTCATCATTCCCAAAAAGAAACTCTGTAACAATCAACACTAGCACTCACTTTCCATCTTCCCTGTGATAGCCAGAATAATGTTCCTCTCAAAGATGTCTGGAACTTGTATGTTAGCTTACATAATAAAGAAACATTAAGGTTGCAGATGGAATTAAGTTGCTTATGGGCTGATTTGAAAGTAACACTATCCTGGATTATCTAGATGCGCCCAATGTAATCATAAGACTCCTTAAAGGTGGAAGAGGTCATTGGAAGAGAGAACCACAGAGGTGACAGATTGAGAGAAACTTGTCCCAATATCACAGGCTTTGAAGCTGGAGGAAAAGAGCCACAAATCAAGAAAAGTGGCCTCTAGAAACTGGAAAAGTCCAAGAAAATAAAGTCTCTCCTTAGCCAACACTTTGAATTTAGCCCAGTGAAACCCATTTTGGACTTCTGACTTCTAGAACTATAAGATAAATTAATAAATAAACAGAATAAATGTGTGTTGTTTCAAGTTACTGTTCACTGGTAATTTGTTACAGCAGGAACAGAAATTAATACAACCCCCATGTAAAGCTTTCCTCCATTCCCAGACAACTCCTGATCTACTTTCTGACTCTATAGACTTGCCTATTCTCGGTATTTACATCATATAATGTCCATTAAATCTCGACATGAAACAAAGTCTTTATTGTTGGTAATTTTATTAGTCTTCAGAATAATGGAAACCTATGTGTTTGTTCAGTGGCAAGACTTGGGAAGAGCTTGGGCGCCTGGGTGGCTCAGTTGGTTAAGTGACTGCCTTCGGCTCAGGTCATGATCCTGGAGTCCCAGGATCGAGGCCCACATCGGGTCTGCTTCTCCCCCGACCCTCCCCCCTCTCATGCTCTCTCTCTCTCATTCTCTCTCAAATAAATAAATGAAATCTTAAAAAAAAAAAAAAAAAAAGACTTGGGAAGAGCTTGATTTTTTTGCTTGGGGGAGAGGGTTGCTATACTTTTAATCTACACAAACTCTCAACAACAACAAAAAAGACTACCCCAATGAGAAGAAATGTCTCAGTTATCTCTGGTAAATGACCACTCCATGCAGAGAAGCAGTGTGATTTGAGTTGTATTTTGAAGTGCTTTAGACAAACTACATACTGCACCATCTTTCAACCCTGGCCATGAGCATTAGCAGATGCCTCCTACCAAGGCTTGAACTTAGGTGCCCTGTTTCTCCATGATATTTTATTGATTTTTATGCAAGTCTTTTTTTTCTTCAAATCATTTAGTAAATATAGCAAGATTATTGTCACAGGTGAATGGCAGGTGAACAATTACTGTCACAGGTGGCTTACCGGTGAGAATTAGAACTTAAACAGTGTTACTTATTTCCTGCACAGTCACATTTCATGAATCAGAGTGCATACCACTCTTGATATTTAGAGAGAAATTCAGTAGGATTTTGCAATCTGGGTTTCCCTGACCAAGACTCTAATCCAGTGTCCTTAGGACCTTTAGAATGGGGAAAAGCTAGCCATCCTGAAATCCTTTTTGCTTAAATGATGAGTAATTTCCAATCCCAGTTGTCCACACACTATTCCAGTGAGTCTGGAAGAGGTCATTGGAAGAGAGAACCACAGAGGTGACAGATTGAGAGAAACTTGTCCCAATATCACAGGCTTTGAAGCTGGAGGAAAAGAGCCACAAATCAAGAAAAGTGGCCTCTAGAAACTGGAAAAGTCCAAGAAAATAAAGTCTCTCCTTAGCCAACACTTTGAA